CTATACAGTTCATAGACTGAACTGTTAAGTGTGAGTCAGTATATACAGTACACAGTGCTGCACGGGACACAGCAGAGGGGAACAGCTGCTCCTTCAGCACATGTTTGTGGAGCGCTTCCTGCATGTCAGGTACCATGTGCTAATAAGTATTGAAATTTTTCAGAAAAATAACAGGGACCCTATAGTCGTGGAGTTTAATCTGGTGAGAAACATGCAGTGACTTAGATGGAACCAACCAGGGAATTGTTTGAAGTTTCTGAGCCAATGATGGAAGGAAAGAAGGATGAATCGGGTTAGGCTGAGTGCAGAGCGGGTGGTCGTTCCTGTTTGGAGGAAAAGCCAATGCAGAGAAAGGGGATGAGCTGGAATGACCACCTCCAACTCCCTCTGCACAGGTGGGTGAACTCCCTGCAGCCAGCAAGAGTGACCCGCTGGGGAGGGATGATCTCGACCCCGGACGCTGTGCTCCAGGCGGTAATCAAGCGCTCCCTGGTGGAGAGTGGCTGTCCTGCCTCCATTGTCAACGAGCTGATTGAAAATGCCCACGAGCGGAGCTGGCCCCAGGGTCTGGCCACATTAGAGACAAGGCAGATGAACCGGCGTTACTATGAGAACTACGTGGCCAAGCGCATCCCTGGCAAGCAGGCTGTCGTCGTGATGGCCTGTGAGAACCAGCACATGGGTGACGACATGGTGCAGGAGCCGGGGCTTGTCATGATATTTGCGCATGGTGTGGAAGAGATATAGGAGATCTCGACGGGCTATGAGGAGGAGATGAAAATCAGAAAATCCTGTCACTCCAGCAGTGGGGCCCTGAGTCCTCCCCACTTCCCTTAATACCGTGGCTTACACCTGAGCCACACATCTCCCTGCTCTTCTGGCACTGAAGGGGGGCCCCGGGGCACTCTGCTCAGCCTTTCAGGTGGGGAACCCAGATTCCCTCCTTTTGCTTTATTTCTTCCCCTAAGATGTCTGTAAATTTTCCATCTGGTTGGGAAAGGCCCCACCTCTATATCTGTTTTCCTGCCTAGGGTCCCTGGTTCCAGTTATTTTCAGAAAGCACAAGGATACTCATTTTCTCCAGAGGATCAGGGTGGAGTGAGGAATCTCTAAGTGTTCCCCTCCTCCAAAACCAAGGAATCAGAACAGGCAGGACTATTGACTCTAAACAGCATTTAGAGGGCAGCTAGGGGAGAAATGGTGAGGGTGGAACAAAACCCTAGAAATGAATAAGGAGGCCAGCCGGCCATTGTTGGTGGCCCTTAGGGGAAGACTGGACCTCTGTGCCAAGCAATACCCCATTCAGCCCACCTTAAAGGTGTGGGCCCCCGCTGGGTCTGCAGGTGTGCAGGTTAGGATACTGAAAATTTCCAGATGAGCTCTTCTTTCCTACACTTCCTCGTGGTTAGGGAATGACAGGGGTGGGGGTGAGGGGTTAGTCTACTGGGGTGCATATGCTCAGCAGGAAGCAGCTCTCTGGCGTTTGCTGGAATCGGGTAGGCGCTGCCTCTGTGGCACAGGCCCTAATGGTTCCGTAGACCCTTCTCCAGCCCGGTGATTGTAACTAGTTATTTTGATAATTTCCTTTGGCCATTGTTACTTGTTTATATTTCACTCCCTCCCTCCCACTTTTTTTTTTTAAGAATGGCCTGATTATGGCTACCCCACTTTTCCAGCCCAGCCACATTGTTGGCAATTTAATTTATTTACTTTTTTTTTTTTAAGAAAGGAAAAAGAAAAAAAATTAACAAAACTTAAAACTTTTGCTCTTCCTATTGTGGGGATTCTGGATAGGGTGGGACAGGGATGGGATCTGTTTTATATTTTTCCTTTTCAGCACAACCTTTGGCTTTAATATAGGAGGGCCAAGGGAGTCCTTGGCTGAACTTATGTCTGTCCCAGTCCTCCATAACCCATCCGAGATGAGGAGCTTCCTCTATTCCAGTGATGGATGTGACAGTCCAGCATCGATGCCTGTGCCCTCTGGAGAACTCTGCTCCCAGCCTATCCAGGGTCTCATTGTAAAACTCTGGACTTAGAGTATTAATTTTGAAGAAACCCTGCCCACTATGCGCCTCCCCTACCTGCCTGGTTTCCTTGGAGATAAACAGCTGGGTTCTAAGCTTCACCAGGCAAAGTGGGATAGAAAGTATGCCCCTGAGTACAGGCTGTACTCTGCCTCACCCAGGCCCCCAAGGACTTGAGCTCCACTTCAGGCTGCCCAGGGCATGCCGTGATCCCTAGGGTGACTGGCAGAGTAAGAGGAGAGGAGGTGGTGGGTGTGGGGTAGTGGGTAGTGGGTCTTAATAAGCAGGTGGGAGGTGGGGTTGGAGAGATGGCCGTGTAACAGCTGCTGCTCTTTTTGGAGTTGCTCTCCGGGCCAGCTTGCTGTAGGTCTGGGTAGTTGGGTCATGGCCCCAGTGGGACTGTGGGCAGGAGAGGGATACAGCGTGGAGGGCGTGTGGAACATCGTCATGTGTTCCAGCTCCAGGACGTTGTGCTCAGGAATTTGAAAACGCTGCTATACTTAGTCTGGTTACGACATTTCTTCCACCCCCACTGCCCCGGCCCGCCTTACCAAGGCCCATACCCTCCTGTCGTCATCCTCAGATGGAGCCAGGAAGCTCAGTAAAGGCTTCCCTACCCTTTGCACTAGTGTCTCTGCAGGTTGCTGGTTGTGTTTTATGTGCTGTTCCACGGTGTTGACTGCACTAATAAACCTTTTACTCAACTCTAAATTCTTAATTCACATCACTCCCCTCTTGAAGGTTCTCCTCTGCCTTGTCCTTTCTCTCGCCTTAATTCCCCTTACTTCCTCCCCACTTTGTAACCCACTCTTGTCTCAGAACCTCTGTTTAGGAGGATATCTGTCTGAGAGGAGTGCATTTCATATCTTCTTTGCCCTGCGTGCCCTCCTGTGTCCTTCCCTCCTGTCCCCTGTTTTGTACAATGAAAGCTCTCACTAGTGATCTGAACTGTATTCTTTTCAGGGTTTACCTTTGCTCCAAATCCACATCTTCTTACGTGCTCTGGGATTTCAGGATACTTTCTATGATGATATGCTAGTAACTTTCTCCCTTGTCCCCCAAGCACCTTTGCTTTGGAATCTGGGATTCCATCACAGGCAGGAACCCTCCACCCTTGTGTCCTAACCAAGAAGGTAAACACAAGGAAAAGAACCTGGAACATCTGCACCTGCTGTGGTTGCTAAGTCTTGCTAAACCCTTTTGTAGGCATCTGCTGCCATCTTCCTATCATGAGAAAATAATCTTTTACCGCAGTGCTATATTTTAAACTTCTTCAGCATTTATCATGCACCTAATATAAACTTGGTAGTACTCTAGCTACTCTAGTGGGGCAAAAAAAAAAAAAACCCCACAAAACACCCACATACGGGCATTCCTGTGCCCACTGGATCTACTACACTTTCATAAATACAAGGTCTGATTAAAAAATGCCGATGAACAAATCACAACCTAGAGCACAAGCAGTAATATTTGTACCCTAGTGATACCAGTAGTGTTTAAAAAAAAAAACTTCAAAATTACTTTCAGAAGCTGCTGTTCATTCTTTTGAATGTCATGAATGATGCAAAATCTTTTTAGGGTAGATTTGGTTTTTGCAGACCATTCATTGAGTGCCTATTCTACAAGAACTCACTAGGGTGGGACTGAGGGCAGTGGTTCATGTAGCAAAATGGCACCTATGTGAGCAGAGGGAAGAGAAAGCCACAATTCCGATGGGTTCCAGGAAAGACTTTTCCAGGAGATACAGTGTTTGTTCTAGATCAGAGTTTGGCAAACTACAGCTTGTATCCTGCTGCCTGATTTTGTAAAAAAGTTTTATTGGAACGTAGCCATGGCTGTTTCTGTTTACATATATTGTTTATGGATGCTTTGAGATTACAGCAGTAGAGCTGAGTAGTTCCCATAGAACTATGGCCACAAAGCCTAGAAGGTTTGCTATTTGATCCTTTATAGAAAAGTTGCCAACCTATTCTGGACTTTTAAGGTCAGGAGAATGGGCAGGGAAGTGCAGAGAGGGTTGGTTGGTTTGATTTTTCACTTCAGTATACATTTGAAAAGTCAGAACATTTTCCTACTGAAATAACAAATGCTTAAAATTAATATTAAATTAATATTCACAATTCCTCAACTGTCCTAAGAAAAGTACTTTTGGAGCTAGTTTTTGTCCAACCCTGGATCCAGTCCAGGAACCCTGCCATTACACCAGTTACGTGTTTTAACCCTCTTAGTCTGGATTCCTGGAACAATCTGTTTTTGGTGACAGTAATTGAAGAAATTGGGCCAGTTGTCTGGAGAGTGGCCTTTTGGATTTGATGGATTGCCTCTTGACAGTGTCCTTTAACTTGTTTTTCTAACCCCTGTTTCTACTAAACAGAACTAGGTCTAGAGTCAGAGAGATTCAAGTTAAACAGTTCTGGGGATAAAAGACATCACGGGAGAGATGTTCTTTACGTTGTGAAACATCAGGACGCAGGCCCAGCCGTCCCACCATTACTCTGATCTCTCCATTGTACGCTTGAGAGATGTTTTTAAAGCTGGCAAGGTGACGGACACGTGCCCTGAGAGAAGGGGCAGCTGGCAGTGCAGCTCCACCTGGTTACTTCTATACAAGAACAGGGCCCAACATTGCCCCTATTTTTCAAGAACTTTTGGACACCCTAATGTTTATATTAAATGTCACAACTTTTAAATATTGGCTCAATTTTTTAAAAATGTGGGCCAAAAAAAGAACAAAACAAAAACATCGGGTCCACCAGTTTGCAACCTCTGTTTTAGGCTAAGATCATAGCATGAATAAGAACAAATAAAGGTGAAAGATTTGTTGAAGGAAGAGACTAGTTAATCAGAATCTGAATTTGTTGAAGGAACTCATGGAAGATAAGACTAGAAATAATTTGGGGTCGATTCTTGGAAGGCCTTGAATACAGGGCAGGGAGTTTGGACTTCAATTTTATAGGTAGTTTTTGAGAAGAGTGACTTCCAACTTGTGAGTCTGATGGCGATATTACTAAGCTTTGCAGTAATTCATGCAAAAGAGAATTAGAGCCTGAAACACAGCAGGAAAGAGGACAAGAGACATCAGAGGAGAAAAGTCAACGGCTTTAGTAACTGACTAGATTCACTCAGCAAACGTTGATACCTGTCTTATGCCAGATGTGGTTCTAGGCATTTGAGATATACAAGTAATTGAGAAGCCTTGAAAGGAATGTGCAGCTTAGTAGTTGACATACACTTGAACAAATAAAGGAAAGCGCAGAATACCATGTTGCTATTAGGTAAGAACTAAGTACAAAGGGACAAGGAGGAAGGGGGTCAGCTACATACCTGGTGGGATGCAGGTGGGAAGGTTTCTCAGAGGAATCATTGGAATTGAGTTCTGAATAGAATCAGATCCTAGTAGTGAGGAAAGGGGCCAACAGCCAGATTCAGCATTTACTGTGAGTCACGCACTAAGTATTAAACATCTAGTCATCCCAACAGCTTCATAAAAAGATGCCATTATCATGTCCATTTTCTACGTGGAAAGACCAAGACAAAGGACACAATTAGCACAGCTAATACTCAGAACTGGGACTTGAAAGTCATGCCAGAGCCCGAGCTCCCAACCACTGCACATAACACAGGGCAGGTAACCAAAGATGAGTCACAGCTAAAGACGGATTTCTAGTCTGAATGAGAAGATAGGTTCATTAATCTGAATAGGGAGAAGAGGATGAGCAGGTTTTGGGGGTGAAGTAATGAGCTAATTTGGGGGCCAATGGGTTGGAAGTGCTTCCACACAGAGGGGTTTAGCCAGAAAATGGAAATGTGGGTCTAGAGCTCAACAGCAAGAAGTTAGGATTACAGAGGTGGATTTGCAAGTTACCTGCCCAAAGATGATGAAGAAATTCTAAGAATGAATGCAACCACTAAAGGAAAGGAACAGCAAGAAGGCTAAGAATGTGACCTTGGGGAATTCCAGAAGTAATCTGCAACAAAATCTGGAAAATAGATGAGTGATAAAGGTGGCTAATGCTTCAGCTTTTTTTTTTAAAGAAATTTTGAAGTAATGAATCATTTAAATCTGGCTAATGAACTAGTTGTGAAGGAGTTCCAGAAATGTTTTGTGCAACGACAGCATTCCTGAAATAAGCGTAGGTTGAGATCATTTCAGCTGAAGTCCTCTAATTTGCTTTACTGGATAAACTGCAGAGATCCAAGCCTCTTAACATTTGGAACAAGTCAACAACTTGGAAGGGGATAGTGAGTTCCTATGTGTTAGATTTCCCCACTTTAGCTTTTTACTCAGATAAAAGCAAATTTGATTAAAATCTAAGAAATTGTAGCTGAAAAAAATCAGTATAGGGTGGCATTAGCTAGTCATTGGTTATAAGGTGGAGACAGAAGGAACTTCACGAGAGAAGGAAGGAATTAGGCTGTGACGTGGAGGCGCCCAGCCTGATTAGATTGGTGGTATCTTACTGGGAAGAATTAAGGATTAAAAATGGGTGATTTAGGCAGAGTGTATTGAGAATAGGAGCATGTGTTTGAACAGATGGGGCTCTGAAATTCCTAGACGGGATTAATATGATGAAAGTTGTGTTTTAGAGATTTAAATGGTGAAACTGGGGCACCTGAAAGGCCATTGTAACAAAAGTGTGCATTAGATGATGTGATGGAAGAGGCAATGATTGATGAATGATGGGCACGGGAAAAGAAAATGTCCAGTAATTCTTAAGGCTGAAACTAGATGAAATTAAGATAATCGTATTAAATGGGAAAAATTGAGAACGTGATTCTGGGAAAGAAACTTTTGTTAGTGTTTTAGGAGACATTAGTTCAGCCAGGCAGATGAACATGCAGACATATAGGCAGAGGGAGATACAGGACCATGGTTTGCCTGAGAGGCCATGTCTGGGATGGTGGCATGGGGTTTTGTCTTGGGAGGAGAGAGAAGAATGCAGCTTTCATACAAAGCCACAGAAGAAGGGAGAAAACAAATGAGATGGAGAAATAGTGTTCTAAGAGAAAAACAAGAAAGTACAGAGTCTCTGAAGTCCGATAATAAATCAATGGTTTTCAACATAGCAAAGTTTTCTGCCACAGTGTTATTAAAGATAGCATTGAAGCTGAGGCAGAAGGTATACATTTTATTTAAAAAAAAAAAGAAGTAGAAAACAACATGGTGATTTGGAAGTGTCAAGTGAAGGTGTAGTTTTGTTTGTCCTGAATTAACGAAGGATTGAACCAGTGGGATAGGAGCATCTTAACTTGTTATGGAAGAATATTTATGGACGGTTCCTTAGGTAGTTGAAATGAGTGAGACTGCAAGCACAGGTGGAGAAGGTAACATCAGGGCAGATGGATGAGCAAGGACAAATACTGAACCAGAAACTAAAGAATGCCCGTGAGTAGAATGTAGTAAATATGTAAGAAGGGGGCGTGTGTGTGTGTGTGTGTGTGTGTGTGTGTGTGTGTGTGTGTGTTGATTATGCAACACAAAGATACAAGGATAGAGAGACAGGATTTGTTGGGATGGAAGAGTGAAAGAATTGTGGAGTTGTGGTGGGCTTTGAGGATGATAAAAATTTGACATTCTCTCTCATACACGAAGGTTCGAAGTCTTAGCCTCTCACCCCGAAAGTTACAAGAGAGGTATTTGAGAGTGAAAGGTTGGATCTCAAGTACCGAATAACCTCAGCCCGCTATTCTCGGTCCAGATCCTCCATTTTGTAAACCATGGGGGTTGGGGGAGTGCTTCTTCTCTTCACAACATAGTTGTCGGTTGCCCTCTGCTGGTCAGTTTTGGTCTTGGCTCGCCAGGTGTTTAAATTTGAGAGCATGCGCAAAGTGGGATTTGGTAGGAAGTCCAGTACTGAGCCCATTAGATTCCATCCATTCAGTACGTTTTTGATCACATCTATGTCTAAGGCCTAGTAGTGGAGATGCAAACAAAATACAGTCTATCTCTCAAGAAGCTTACAGTCCAGTCTTAGTAAAGATTAAAACATGTACACATAACCGTGTGAAAAAACAACCATCTCACATAGTAAGATTAGGGTGTAGGATATGGTGGGTGACAGGTGGTCAGAGAAGACTTTCAGGAGAACCAACATCTAAGTGAAGACTGAGAAGGTGAGGATGAGAAAGATTATTTCAAGCAGAGAACAGCATGAACACAGATAAATACTACAGCAGGAACTAAAAGAATACCAGTGGATGAAACACAGTGAATATGGAAGAGTGGGGAGAAAAAAAGGAACCAGGTCATGGAACACAGAAAGTAGCCATGGCAGGGTTTACAGTCTCTGCTACAGTGTGGATGCTTTATTGCAGCTTTACGTAGAGCAACTCGTTAGTCCTCACAAGTACCCCTACCCTCCAAATGAAAGCTCTGGCAGGTTGTAGGTCCATCCTGCACTCACCCCTGAGAAAAGTGGACACAGTTGAGACTATCTATATAGGAAGTAGACACAACATTGTAAACAGGCTATAACTCAATTTTTTTAAATGTTAAAAATAAATCAATAGGAAGTAGAATAAATATAACTTGTTTTTATTTTAATTAATTTTTGCAGAAGCATGTCAGAGGAGATGCCTTGCATGCAACCTAGTGGATGGTGGTGGTAGACTGATCGGTTCCAGCTTTTGTAATCAAGAGCCTTAAAGAGGAAGAGTAAACAGAACTGCAGGATGGAAAGTGAGAATGGGAGGTGGAGGGGAGGCAGTGAGGGTGATCTTGGAAAATATAGCATGAGGAAAGGTAGGAAAGGGGGAAACCCCAAAGTGTGAATGTGTAAAAAGCTCTATGAACCCCTGCCCTCTGTGGATCCTACTTGGAATTGAGGCTGTGCAAGAAATTAAATACAAAAAGAACATCATCAACTAGTATCCTAGATATTCCCCACAGTCAGAAATTGGAGATAGTAAGAACTAGCTGAGGTGAGTACAGGAGGGTTAGAGGTTAGAGAAGATAAATTCCCTAGCTAGGAATTTGGAACCCGGAGAACGTAGAACAGTATTGGCACATAATGAGCACTCAATAAAAAGTAAGTTATCTTCCCACCCTCTAGCTCCAGCTAGATTGGCAGTGTTGGTATTTCAATAGGCCACTCCTCTCTAGCCCTGTGATACCTGAGGAGGTGCATCTCCTCAAGGAAATGCCGGTGAGACAATGTCTTGTTTCCTGGGTCTTCATTGTAATCAGACCTACAATACGTGACATCTGGTCATGAAATCCAGAGTGCCCTTTTTTCCCACGGAACTCCAGTTTTGACTATTGTGGCACAAGAGGCATTCATGTTCCCAATCAACAGTTAACCCTTTCACCAAATCCTTTGCTGTGCCCTCCCAAAATAATGAAACATGCCGAAACTCTGCCTGCAAACCTGAAGTTACAGAATTCTGAAAGTACTTTGTGTCCTAGCAGCCAATACAGCTGTACATAATTAAGCTTCCCATGATCACTCTCATCCCCCTCCCCCAAATCCGGGGGTGAGACCTGGCTTCTATTTCCTAGACAGAAAGGGAGGTGCACGAAAGGCGTGTGAAGACAAGGGATTTCCTTTAAACACATCCTGATGGGAAAAAAACGGCCGTCACGAACAGGATTCGAACCTGTGCGGGGAAACCCCATTGGATTTCGAGTCCAACGCCTTAACCACTCGGCCACCGTGACTTCGAAAACCAACCTTTACCGCACACTTACAGAAGGGGTCCGCTTTGCGACCGGGGAGGGAGTGTGGCAGCAGCAGGAAGCCGGGCCCGGGGCCGAACACGCACACCCTGTGACCCTCTCCCATTCGGTTCCTTACCTCTTGCTCCATGCCACCCAAAGGAAAAAAGTCGTGTGGAACGGGTGACACAAGGAGGGAGAGTCTCTCGCCCAGCGAAGATTCGGGGTCTCAAGGAGCGCAAAGCTATTTAGGAGGCGATGGCGTGGCCTGCGGAGAAAGCAGTTGGAGGGAAGAGAATGGGCCCCTAGGGTGGCGGCTAGGGGACTCCTCGAGTGAAGGAGTGAGAGGAGACCTAAGACAAGGCGTTAGGGGCGAGGGAAGCTCCGAAAGAGTTTAAACGGGGAACTTATGGGGATGGATGAAAGGAAGGAACTTTTGGGGGAAGGAGTCGGGGGTTCCTTGGGATTAGGAGCTGCATAGGGTTAGTAATGTGCAGTGGGGTTAGGGCCACTCGGGGCTATGGGCTGGGGGCTCCTCAGGCGACGGGCACCCCCTTGGTGTACGATAGAGAGGTACCCCACTCCCTGGGCTCAGAGGCAAGAAGAGAACAGGCTTCACGTCAGGTATAGAGCGATCTCAGGGGAGTGTGCG